GATAGAGGAAGCACGAAGGATGAAAAATATCAATAAGAATTTAGTCGACTTATACTCATTAATTTAAAATTTTTAATTTGATGTCAAAATTAAAAATTAAAACATTTATGATGTAAAATAATTATTTCTCCAATGTTAAAGGAGAAAAAGAAAAAAAAAAAAAAAAAAAGGGGGAATATAAGTACCTCTCCTATTAAGTCAGGCTCGATGGGGTTGACGAGCAGGACAGCTTCAGGGTAAGCCAAGGCTTGGCCTCTTGGCGACAGCCGGTCATCTGGAAGAGGCATGAATCTTTGCCTATTGTCCGCCATTGCCATGTAATGGAACCTGTCATCCCACATATATAGTCAAAATGTTTGTCTTTCTATATATTTCCAGTGAAACTTGAGAAATATGGAGGAAAAAATGCAACTACTTGTCTTTTCTAAGCTTGAATGCAAATCTAGTTTCGCCTAGGCTGAAAGCAGGCCAATCTTTAGAGTGCTCGTAAATCGCGTAAGAGTAGAAGCCAGAGCAACCACGCAGCATAATGAACCTGCAAAACTTAATTAGGTATATGAATATAATCCATAATTATAAGTGTAAGTTAAACATTTTAAGTTTAAACTTAAAATAAATGAAGAAGAATTTAGAAAAGAAAAGAAATAACTCGTCTTTGTATATAATCTGTAATTATCAGTTATATCCAAGAAAATTGTTCCTCTTAAGAGGGATGAAGAAGTTTTAGAATAGATTAATGAAAAATATCCAAGTGACATTAGATAGTGTGAACCGGACCTTTAGACCTAATGGTTTGATTCTAAGCTTTAAGTGCTTGGGTGAGGTGGTTGGAGTTTCGAGCTCTGTCACCGTCATAAATTTCACCAAAAAGCAGCCTGATGGCTGCGCGTCTCATTTGAGGAAGTAGAATGTTTACCCGGTTTTAAAACCAGTTACTAACAACTAACTCATACTAATTTTCTAACTATTATCTTGACAAAAAAAAAGAAAAAAAAAAGACATTAGACAGTGTAGTAATTAACCTTTTGTCTATATTCAATGGGACGAGCTTGTCCTGTTGAGACGAATCCCACATTCTTGTGAAAGACAGCTCAACCTGTTCCTCACTTTCCACTATAACCTTAAAGATTGTTCCTTTAATCCTGCATAAAATTTCAGTTTTCTTGATTCATAAATTCTGTTTATATTATATACACATAAAAATATAATGAGAATTAAGAGATTTCATACACATCAAATATGCCTGATTTGACTCCTGAATTCCAGACTAAATCCCAATACCTACATAATAATATTTATAAATTGATGAGATAATTATTTAGAAATAATCAATTATCAAAAACTATTTCACCTAGAAAAGTCAGTATTACATACCCTCTATTAGATTCATCATTAACAATTTCAAGTAAGTTGTCAATGCCATTGTATCGTATCCCAGTGACAATTCCAGCCGGATTTGACAACGTAACTTGCAGTATGCCATTGTCCATCACCACCTGTGCACATATATATATATATTGCATTAGATCAATACTTAGACCAAAAGAAAGAACCCCTTCGTGTCATTGCTCTACTAAGACGTTGCTAACAGACCAACTATATTAAAGTGTGAAAAAGGAAACAAGCAAACAGTACATGACTATCTTGAATGAGCAGCTGAACTCCTCGAGGTGACATGGTGATCTTCAGGCACTGAAGAATGGCGTTGCTGCACAAACTGAATTTGCAAAACGGTTGTTGATGGTTTTGGGAAGGAAATTCTCATAGGAAGTTCGAAATTTGTGTCGAGAAGTTGAACTTGAACAAGGCTTATATATATACAAGAATCTGCTTGGGTTAAGACATTCCTTGAACTGGAGATGAAGCATTCTGAAACTTTATTTCATTTTCAATTCTTTCCATGTTCTAATCTCTTTACTTGGTCGCCAACATAGTTTGGTGCAAAATACAAATAATAGAAGCGTGCAGGAGCCGCAATATGTTAAACACTGCAAACCATTCACCATGATCATGAAACTTGTGCCGACCAAAAAATATATACATATAATAAGAATAAGATCATGAAACTTGTATGGTGATGGGTTACACTTTTTTATTAATAACTTTATTTTTTTTTATTTCTTTTTTTTTTGTGTTGAGCCCAAAATTTTGTAATGAAATAAGTTTTCTTGATTTAAAACTTCATAATTGTTAAGTGGACAAATCCTACATCGAGTATAAAAATAATAAGCTTGTGAGTTAAATACAAGGAGTGAAATACAAGGAGGGTTACTCCATCTATTACGAATTGGTTTTAGGTTGGATGCAAGTCTTGTGTTGAGCCCACATGCAGAATTTTCAATATGGTATCAGAGCCCAGGTTCTACTGTGAGAAGTCCGTTGTTAGCCCACCTGACAGGACCCGAAGTTGATACCAGGCCTGCAATTAAGGAGGCGTGTTAACCCACGTGACAAGACCCGACATTCATAACGGGCCTGCACGTGAGGGGGCGTGTTAAGCGGACAAATCCCATATCGAGTATAAAAATAATAAGCTTGTGGGTTAAATACAAGGAGGGTTACTCCACCTATTACCAATTAGTTTTAGGTTGGATGTAAGTCTTGTGTTGAGCCCACATGCAGAATTTTCAATAAGAATAATGCATACCTGATTGAATAATATTTTGATTTATATACATAAACATTTACTTGCGTTCAATTTTTTGAAACAGACATTTGGCCTTGTATACATAAAATAGTATTTTGATCCAATAATAACAGTTGTTTAAGGAAAATGAAAAGTCGGGATGTTCGAAACGAAAATGAATGGTACATGATTCTGTGGAAAGGGCGATCCCATTTTCGCTTTTTACATAACTTCATTATAAACACTTTATATACCCACCCGAGCGGGCGGATTGGTCGATAGGAAACTCTTTTAATTTAAGTAGAGGTTTTAGTTTTAAATACTAAAAATGCAATTTTATTTAAATTTTAAGAAAGAGTTTTATCGTCGTTAAGTCGTATCCAAGTTGAATCTAGATTAATCACTGATTCAATAAGTTTCTAGATATCAAATAATTCATATTAAAAAAAAATTATAAGCACTTTATATATAATAATATCTATTCATCTTATTTTTTAAAAATTATAAAAAAAATTTATTTTAAGATTATATTATTTTAATAAATTTTCATTAAAAAATATTAAAATATCTTATTTTTAAGATATGTACTAATATATATTTTAATAGTTTCTCATAATATTTTATTAAAATAATATAATTTTAAAATAACTTTTTTCTTAACTTTTAATATATATATATATATATTTATATATAAACTTGAAACACACGAAGATGCTTTTCAGCAAATCCTGAAAATTGCCTTTCCAAACATTCTCAATCAAAGGAGGTAAAACATATCATCCGACCTGAATTAAAAGGATTTGTTGTAAGATTTTGTTTTCAATAAATCATTTTCCTTCAAAATACTAAATTTTGGCACTTGCTGTCACACATGTTCACATTAAAAGAATAGATGCATACAAATATATAAGACTATTGTTCATTTTCATTAACCTAACTAGTTTACCAACCACGAAAATAGAAAAGAATTTGGGCATCGTATTCATAATCTACAGAAAAGTGCTACCGAGTAAGATGAAATAATCTGAGTCTTAAACTGGAACCGCACCTTTAAGTCCAATGGTTCGACCCAAAACCTTAAAGTACTTGAACGAGATGGTCGAAATTTCGAACTCTACTACCATCTTAAAAACTCCCTTCCCCCATCCCCCAAATTGTATACTGTTCAAAAAAAAAATCCGAGTCTTAAACTGAAACCGGACCTTTAAGTCCAATAGTTCGACCCAAAGCCTTAAAGTGTTTGGGTGAGGTGGTCGAAATTTCGAACTCTACTACCATCTTAAAAACTCCCTTCCCCCATCCCCCAAATTGTACACTGTTCAAAAAAAAAATCCGAGTCTTAAACTGAAATTAAAGCCTAATTGGCAGTTTGGTACATAGAATTGAACAATGAGTTTGATTTGTGCAATTAAGGAGTGAAGAGTATCAGTCTAATCTGTGCGACTTTATAAACCAAGAAACAAAAACTACACTACTCGGACTATTCCAGATACAGAAATGGAATATGTATCAAGCTGATTTACATACGCCTGGTGTGTATCCTCTATTCTGCTAATGCTCCTCAGTTGCCCCCTGTCTTCTTCTGGAAAAAAAGTGTTCCTAAAAGGACGGCAATACCCGTGATTGCAATGGTGAACAGAAGTCGCCTCCGAGAAAATGCAGGTGGCTGCCTTCTCGGAGCACCTTGCCCTCTTTCGGTTGTCCTCACATCCCTAAAAGACAGGTTTCAAAGGATATAGGTGAATCCATGATAGATCATGAACATCAACAGAAATTAAACTATTCTACAGCATATGGACAGCAAAGATAAGGTAAAGTCTAGCATAATATTTTGGCATACAGAGACATTCATGGAGTGGACTTTAAAACAGAGTTGGCAAACCAAATGCACAGCAGAATGCAGTTACTCAGCTCCAATTTGACAGCAGTGTTTGTTGGAAATTGAGGTAAGTTCAGCTCATAAGTGACAAAAAGACAAACTATGGAAGCTTGTATGCTTCAATACTTCCACCATTATTGATGAAACCACAAAGATTCAAGCAAATGATGGTTGTTATCGGTGAAAATAATTTCTGTCAAGAAAAATTCATACTTATTTCCCTTCCTTTTTTTTTTTTTTTTACCTAACTCTGTTAAAGCACATGCACGATTAGACTAAACCAACAATTGCTCTATACATGAACCTAAATTGTGTGTGATGAATTCAAAGTTTAATCCACAAAGTTTTCAGTATTTTCGCAGAAAATTGTGCTGAATCTTTCATGTAAATTCAATAAAACACAAACGCTTGCATGCTAGAAGTGAAGATATAAACACTTGGATGCTAGAAGTCAGCTCTAATTGTCAGACTTTACATTAAAAAAAGGGAAGAAGAAGAAGACAGAAATGCATTTATTCAAACATTCAATGATAAATTAGAGCATAGGTACCTGGAAGGTCCTGCAGTGTTCTCTGTGATACCGGTGCACCTAATTTCATGGCTGTACCTTTCTCGAAGTCTTATATATCTGTTACACAAATGACAGAGTTCTGTCCGGTTCCCACAGACTTCCTAAGATTGCAAAGCAAAATGGATTTAACCCATTTACTCAAGTAAATAGGATAAAATAGGATATTATCATTCACTGAAAATTATTACCTGATGCTCAGCCAGATCAATAGCAGGCAATGGAAACTCGCAAAACTCACAAGTGACGATTCTCTGGGGACAATTTTCACCTTTATGGATGGCTAAAATTTCACGTTCCATTGTCTCGCTGCATAGTGAACAGGCGACCTGCTCCCATACATATAGGTCAATAGCATATAACATTCATATATTAGAAAGATATGCTTATTCCCATACTTGACATCCTTATCTAAATAAAATCTGCTTGACTTCACCAATTCACTTTTACATTTAAAAGGAAACATAGGGCATTTATCCTTTTTTTCTTTAGAAAGTTTAGAAACAACTGGTGGCAATGAATATTTTCTCCTAACACAACCAATTGGAAGATAGCAGATTTATAAGATATTGTCCCAGTATATCAACAGTCTTGCAACCCAACATCCATCAAACAAAGAAGGCTACTCAATATTTTCTAATTTCTAGTTACTATGTGTACATTCCAATCATATGAGTTCTCATAAATGTCTGCTTATGGAATAAGTTAAAGTTAAATTTCTCCAATCACCTCTAGTCAGGCCCAACCACTCAAATTTGGTTCATTATCAATAAGTTCAATTTCAGCCCCTTTAAGTTCAAGTAATGACAAGACAAACTCAGCATGATTGGGAAAAGGAAAAAGGAGGAAAGAAGTTTAAAATACCACTCATTGAAAAGAATAGGAAAACATCTAAACTCACATACCGGTGCATGGGTGTTTAAAAAGTGTTCCTCAGCATGCTTTTTTGGGATCATTTCACCACAAACTTTACATTTCTCCAGATTTCGAGAGCAATGTGCATAATGCAGATCAATATTTGAAGAAGGGATAGCTCTGTCACTGAAAACATTAAGAATGGAAAAGTTACTCATCTTAAAGTTTCTCACATTAGTCAGCAAATAAAAAGAAACCTGAAATACTTTATCAGATGTTATTAGAAATTTTCTGCCATCATCAATTGAAAGATGACCAAAATAATTGCAAACAAATCATTGAAAATAACAAAATACTATCCTTATGTTGGAAAAAGGGAAGGAATGCCATGGAATAAGGAAAATCAAGATACTTTTCATTGATTCAATGAAAAACTGAATCAAAGTAACTTTAAAACTCAAACACAGAAGATTCAAAGATTTATGATGCCACATCATGTCTCAAATTCAGTCCAGCTAGAAAATAAACTATAGACCTTGACAACATTTGATCCAAAAATCAAATGCTTCACCTTACTAGCTAGGAAATGTGTATGCTCACTGCACACACACACACACAGATGCTGACCAAAGCCAACCACACTAACTAGCAGAAGGTGCATATATAACAAATCATTGACAACAGATGACTAGGACAACCAGAAAACCCTCATAATGTATTGATGCCTCACATTTTGGGCAGAAATTCAGAATACAATCCAACATACCCATATGGCCATATTCATCAAGTTTTACTAAGAGGATACACCATTCAACAAACCATACCCCATATGCCAATTCAATGTAACCAGAAGGCAGAAGTACATAAAACACAACTAACACCTTTCAAGTCCCAGATAAATTTAGAACAATGCATTTCCAAAAAATTCACGACCCCAGTCACGGTAAATAAACAAGAAGAAGGCAAAACAATTTCCCCCGAAAAAGCAAATACACATTAAACAGAGCAAAGAATCACTACATGCTTCAGCTCTACAAACCCATCAACACCAACGGACATAAAGAAACCAAATTTACGTAAAGAATTCACAAAATAAACAAAATTATATACATATAAAAGGAATAATTCCATATGATTTAATACCAGTGAGTACATATGCGTGTTGTTTCATCTGCAGCAACTGCCATGGCGATCCGATCAAGAGTTCCCGCTGTGATAAAAATTAACGAAATAATTAATTGAGGAAGGTGAATCGGAAAGGAAAATTTGGAGTGGAAATAGATAATCAAACCTGAAGAAATCTTGGATCTTTCGTTTTCTTTTCTTCTTCTTCTTCTTTTTCAAGATTCAAGAAAATGTTTAAAAAAACCCAATTTGGGAAATGAAATTAGAAGGAAAGATTTGGAGAGCTATGCTTTGGTTGAACAACTATGGGATCCTACCCCTCAAGTCCAGCCCCAGCATTGATGATTAATTGATTACGTAGCTTTCCTTCACGCGCTTTTGTTGTGGTGGCGTCACGCTCCTCCGGGCTTGGGCTTTTCTGTCGTCGAACTTTTAGGTCCAATGATTTTGGTAAGTCTTGGGCTTTAAACTATCCTTGTGTTGTCTTCAAAAGTGATCCATTCAATTAAAGATTTTATATAGGTTAAACCCCCATTTTGGTCCCTCAACTATCATATGGACCCCCGACTTAGTCCCTCAACTCAAAAAATCCCTGATTTGGTCCCTACTGTTTACCATTTTGATCCCGATTTAGTCCCTCCGTTAAAAATCCAGTGACATTTCTCGTTAATTAACTGGAGCATGATGACGTGTCCAAATGACTTGACACATCAGATGCATACTTGAAAAAAAAAATGACAACATGATAAAAAAATGATGACATGGAAAAAAATAATATATAAAAAAACTTAAAAAATTATTTCTTTTTCTTTTTTCTTCTTTTTTCTTCTCTTTTCCTTTCTTTTCCCCTTGCAACCCAACGCCTACTGGGTTCCTTCGAACCGAGGCTTCATGGGTTCCACACCTGGGTTCCACGCCTGGGTTCCACGCCTGGGTTCCTTGGAACCCAGGGCTTGGGTCTTGATGGAACCCAGGGCCTGGGTCTTGATGGAACCAGGCACTAGGTTCGTTCGAAACCCAAAGCCTGGGTTCCATCGAACCCAGAGCCTAGATTTCCGAGGTGTCTTGGGTTCGATCGAACCCAGGCTCTAGGTTTCTCAGGCATCTTGGGTTTGATTGAACCCAAGCTCTGGGTTTGTTCGAAACCCAGGCAGCCTGGGTTCAATCGAATTTAGAGCCTGGGTTTCCCAGGTGTCCTGGGTTCGTTTGAAACCCAGGCTGCCTGGGTTCGTTTGAAAAAAATTCTCTTTTTTTTTTTTT